ATACGCTGAAATCTGAATTGCGCACCTGTTGTGTGCACCGCATCTAAACTGCATGTATGGCCGTGCGTATCACATCGAAATTGAACGCATGCCATGTGCATCCAATCTTAATTGCGTACACGTCTAAATTTAAATTGCACGAATTTCGTGCACACTGCATCTGAATTGCACATGCGGCATGCATCTAAATTGCACGCGTGCGCGTCGTTGCAGCCGGAGGAGGTGGATGAACATGGCCGCAAGGTGGCGAAGCGTCTGCAGGTACATCTGAAGGATTCCGACGCCGAGGCATTCGATCTCGTGCTCTTCTACATCTACACGGATCGCATCGACCCCACGAAGGAAGGTACGCCCTCTGGTGACCCGCTCAGCGCGGCTGCTTGTCCTCGCTCGAGGCCCTGCAACAACTGATCGATCCCTCCGAGCGAGATTCCTACGTCCACCTCTGTCGTCGTTGCTAGATCAGTTGCGTGCGCGAGCCGCATTGAAACGTCGTCCTTGTGGCACTTTGTCGCTAAGCATTGGTTTAAGAACTTCCTATCGCAGCGGTGATGGGCTTGAGCTGTACGCGTCAATCCTGCCGGATGACAGGCCGGATGATTGCTTCCCGGCCCGTCGCCGCTGTCATGCATGCGTACTCACGTCTCTCACCATCGTCGCGTCGCCGCTGTCATGCATGCGTACTCACGTCTCTCACCATCGTCGCGTCGCCGCTGTCATGCATGCGTACTCACGTCTCTCACCATCGTCACGTCGCCGCTGTCATGCATGCGTACTCACGTCTCTCACCATCGTCGCGTCGCCGCTGTCATGCATGCGTACTCACGTCTCTCACCATCGTCACGTCGCCGCTGTCATGCATGCGTACTCACGTCTCTCACCGGCATCGCGTCGCCGCTGTCATGCATGCGTACTCACGTCTCTCACCATCGTCACGTCGCCGCTGTCATGCATGCGTACTCACGTCTCTCACCATCGTCGCGTCGCCGCTGTCATGCATGCGTACTCACGTCTCTCACCATCGTCACGTCGCCGCTGTCATGCATGCGTACTCACGTCTCTCATCACCATCGTTCGCCGCTGTCATGCATGGCCGTAACTCACGTCTCCTCACCAAATCGTCACGGAGTCCCGCTTGTCATGCATGCGTACTCAGCGTCTCTCACCAGTCGCGCGTCGCCGCTTGTATGCATGCATACTCACGTCTACTCAAACCATCGTCACGTCGGCGTCATGCATGCGTACTCACGTCTCCTCACCACGTCTAGCGTCGCCGCTGTCCATGGCATCGTACTGCACGTCTCTCACCATCGTCACTCGCGCATGCATGCGTTACTCATCGTCTCTCACCCGGAGCCATCGTCGCGTCGCCGGCTGTCAATGCATGCATACTCACGTCTCTCACCATCGTCACGATCGCCCGCTGTCATGCATGCGTACGTCACGGTCTGCTTCACACATCGTCACGTCGGCGTCATGCATGGCGTACTCCGGTCTCTCACCATCGCACGTCTCGCCGCTGTCATGCATGCCGTACTCAGAAGTCTCTCACATACGTCAGTCGCTCGCTGTCCATGCATGGCGTACTCACGTCTCTAATCATCGTCGCGTCGCCAGCTCGTCATGCATTGCGTACTGCACGTCTCTCACCATCGTCGCGTCGCGTCTGGCATGGCCGTAACGGTCACGTCTTCAACCATCGTCGGCGGCGGCCGCTGTCCATGCATGCGCTACTCCACGTCTCTCACCATCGTCGCGGCGCGCGCTGTCCAAGGGGGGGGGGGGGAGTCATGCGTACTCACGTCTCTCACATCGTCGCGGCGTCCCCCCCGCTGTCATGCATGCGTACTAACGTCTCTCAGCCATCGTCCGGCGTCGCCAGCTGTCATGCAGTGCGTATCACGTGCTCTCACCATCGTCACGTCGCCGCTGTTCATGCATGGCGTAACTCACGTCTCTTCACCAATCGTCACGTCGCCGCTGTCCATGCAATGCGTACTCACGTCTCTCACGCATCGTTCGCGTCGCCGCTGTCATGCATGCGTACTCCAGCGTCTCTCAACCATCGTCGCGTCGCGTCAATGCATGCGTACTCAAGGCGCGGGCGTGGCTCTCTCAACCATCGTCGCGTCGCCGCTGTCATTGCATGTACCGTCGCCGTCTCTCAACGCATCGTCACGGTCGCCAGGCTGTCATGCATCGCGTACTCGACGTCTCTCACGCATTTCGTGCGCGTCGCCAACTGCTGTCATGCATGCGTAACTCACAGTCTCTCACCATCGTCGCGATCGACCGCTGTCATGCATGCGTACTCAAACGTCTCTCACCATTCGTCGAGGTCGGGCGTCCATGCATCGCGTACTCCACGTCTCTTCACCAATCGTGGCGCGGCGCCGCTGTCATGCATGCGAACATCGGACGTCTTCTTCACCCATCGGTCCGCGTCGCCGCTGTCATGCATCGTACTCACGTCTCTCAGCATCGTCCGCCGTCGCCGCCGCTGTCATGCATATGCCGTATCACGGTCTGCTCACCATCCGTCGCGGCGCCGGCTGTAGTGCATGCGGTACTCGACGGCGCACCAATCTGCGCGTTCGCCGTGTCAATGCACGTAACTCAACTCTCTCAGCATCGTCACGTCGCCCGCTGTCATGCATGGCGGTGACTCACGTCTCTGCACCCATTCGGGAAGGGCCGCTGTCATGCAATGCGTACTCACGTCTTCACCACCTCACAGCGGGTCGCCGCTGGTCATGCATGCGTACGTCACAGGTCTCGTCGACCATCGTACACGTCCGCGTCATGAACATGCCGTTACTGCACGTCTCTCACCATCGTGGCACGGTCGTCCACGGACTTCGTCATGCATGCGTACTCCACAGTCTCGCACCATCGTCGCGTTCACCGGCGCTGTCATGCATGTCGTACTCGCGTCTCTCACCCATCGTCGCGTCGCCGCTGAGTCCATGCATGCGTACTCATGTCTCTCACCATCGTCACGCGTCCGCGTTCAATCATGGTACTCTGTCTCTCCACTCATCGGTCACGTCAGCCGCTGTCATGCATGCTACTCACGTCTCTCACCATCGTCGCGTCGCGTCAATGTCATGCTACTCGATGTCTTCTCACACACGTCAGACTCGCCGCTGTTCATGCATGCGTACTCCACGGTCCTGCATCATCGTCGCGTCGCGTCAATGCATGCGTACTGCACGTCTCTCACCAATCGTCGCGTGCGCATGACCAGCACTGCGTAGGTTCACGTCTCTCACCATCATCTGCGTCGCCGCTGGTCATGCATGCGTACTCACTCTCTCACCATCGTCACGTCGCGTCAATGGCATGCTACTCATGTCGTCTCAGCCAATCGTCGACGGTCGCCGGGCTGTCAGCGAGCTACTCACAGTCTCTCACCATCGCGTACCGCGTCGCCAGCTGTCATCAGCTATTCACGAAGGGGTTCTCACCATCAATCGCGTCGCCGGACGGTGTCAATGCATGCGTACTCACTCTCTAACCATCTGTGCACGAGTCGCCGTGTCATGCATGAGCGTACTCACGTCTCTCACCATGCGTCACGTCGCCGCTGTCATGCATGCCGTACGTCACAGTAATCTCAGCCATCAGTCGCACGCTGCATCATGCGTACTCAACGCATCTCAGCCATCGTGGCAC